AAAAATAAGCAGTTGTTAAGTTTTAAGTAACTTTTATCATAGTACATTGTTATATTTATTCTGTGTTCTGATTATTCATTGTTAATCTCATATTGTTCCCAATTTATAAATTAAAGTTTATCATAGATAGATAGGCATAAGAAAGAACAACACAGAAAGTGTCCAGCACTGACCCTGCTCTCAGGCATCCACTGGGGTCTTGGGATGCATTCCCCGTGGATATGGGGGCACTGCTATTGGTGATTGCATCTTTCTCTGAATGAACAGGAGACTTTACAAAAGCCCTCTGTGTGCCCAGTGTCAGCTCTAGTGAAAGCACTACCGTGACCTTGCTTGTTCTTGACCATCTCCCTCCTGAGCCAAAAAGTCTTCCTGGGTGCCGCAGTCCGGCTGCAGCAAAATAACCGGAGGGTGACGAACAACTTGTGTGCATTGATACAGCAGGAGTGGGAGCCGTTTATTGCAGGACAGGAGCAGTATTTATACATTCCACACAGCTTATCTAATTAGCATAAACTAGATACATCAGTCAACCAATCAGGAATCTCCACACTTAATGGCTCGCTTTTGTTACTTCTCAAACGACTCCCTCTGGCATTTTGCCAGGCACCATCCAGACTTGTTTACGAACTCTAACATTCCCCTGTCAAAATGCCAGGTGTTATTTTGACTTGTGTACAGACTCTAACACCTGGGCTGAACAGGAAAGCTTTGCTATTATAGTTTTAAAAGTCTGATGAACAATCCTAATGACCCTTATGTGGTCTTCCATGTTCCTACTGTTACCTAGCTGGTGTCCCGATGTTGCCAGAAGAATCACTGGTCAATCGCAAAACAAATTGGTCCTCATGCCCCTCACCTGGTAGAACGGTTCCCAGGCAGAAGCCACTCTGAGGAGAGTGTCTGTCCTTATGACTTCAGTTTTTTGTCTGTATTTGACTTCTCCGTCTGTGACACATCTCCCCTGAGTGCCAGATACATGGTTTTCTCAGGGGTCTTTGAAGAGCCTCTGGGTCCTGTAGACTGTCCCTGTGCATTTCACATTTGTCAGTTATCTTTATTTGTATTTGTTTTCTATTGGTGCTATAGCAAATATCACAGATGTCGTGGGCTAGAGCAACACGTCTCATACCCTAACAGCTCTGCAGGTCACAATCTTACGTGAGTTTCCTTGGGCTAAAATCGAGGTGTCTTTGGGCTGTTTCTTCCTAGAGGCTGCAGCAGCGAGTCTGTTTCCATTCTCTTTTTTGCCTTTTCCAGTTTCTAAAGACTACACACAGTCCTTGGCTCAGGGCCCCTTCCTTCCTTCATCTTCAAGCCGACAGTGTTCTTCTCGGGCTCTTTCATACTCATGTTTTCCTGGGCCATAGCTAGGAAAGGTTCTGTGCTTCGAAGGGTTCATGTCATCCTCTAGTCCAACCCAGATAATCAAGGATTAGAATGTAGCCACTTTAAGGTCCCTTCTGCCATGAAAGTCACACATTCATAGATGCTGATGATTGGCATCTTTGAAGGTGGGTGTTATTCTGCCAACCACAGTATCTTATATCCTTCTCTTGGGAGTCCATGCCATTGGCATGCAGGGCATCCACTAAGCAGAGGCTCTGGGATGGAAGCAGCAATTATGGGGATGGGGGCAAGCAGGACAGAAGTTGAGTCACAGCCTCTGTCACTCTGTGGGGATTGACCCTCAGAGTTATCCTCACTGGAGCTGAGGTGGGCCCGGCCTTTCCCTTTCCTGACTGATCAGAAAAGCTTGTCTGAGGCTGCAGGCCATTCTGTGGGCCCTGTTGTCTGAGGCTGCTTGTGGGTCCCAATGCATGCAGCTGGGACAGGCCATCCTCTGCTGAAGGGGTCTGGCCCGTGCCTCAAGTGCTGACCACAAACAGCAGCTTTTGAACTTCATGTGATGCCTTAAGGAGGCAGAAACTTACTTTGGTTGATAGTGATGGTAGAAAAGCCATTTATCAAATCTGTGCCATGTGCCTTGTTAAGCACTTCTGCATCCTCTGTCACTTCATCCCTTAATAATCTTACGGGTTGATTGCATCTAGAGCAAGGTTGAGGAAGAAACCTGTCTTGTAGCAGTTAACCAACTGCCCATACTAGGCGGGTCAGGAAATGGTGGAGCTGGTATGAAATCTCATGTGTTTGAGTACGAAATCTGTATTCTTACCTATTGTACCCTAATGCGAGCAACTCCAGAAAAGGGGTAGGTGAACTCTATTTGTAAAGCGACACTAGGCAAAGATTTCTGACTCTGTGGGCCATATGGTCTTGGTTACAACACTCAGCTCTTCCCTGGAGGTGTAGAAGCAGGCTAAACTGTGTGCAGGCAACAGCAGTGCCCTGTTCCTTACTGAAAGTGCACTTGTAAAAACAGGGCTGGCTGCCCTGCCCATTGGCCAGTTCAGAGCCTATTCAGGAAGTCAGAGGACTGAGCAATTGCCACGAGCTCCTCCAGAGTGCAAATTCTAATTCTGTAATGAAAACACCTTGGATAAGAGAAACTTGAGATAGTGGAAGCAGAGAGAAGAATATATAGACTTTCGAGTGGAGACACCACCAAATAATTTAGTGGCCACAGACAAGCTTTTTCCTTTCTCAGCTAGTTTCCTTACCTGTAAAATGGGCATGATATTTATGACTTCACAAGTTGTTATAAAAAACCCCAAACACAATTTGTTGAGACAATACATCTAAAAATACTCTTCCTGTTCATATATTTGTTAAAATTTGGTTTTATTAAATTTTCCCCCTGGGATGGCAAGGGGCAGTAGTATCTAAAGAGACAAGTACTATGTTGGTAAGGGTGAGGGTAAAAGCAGGATGGGCAGGGGTCTCACTTAGATTATGCTAATACCTAAAATATAATGCAAAACGATAGCTAGGTTAGCTCTTGTTAAAAACAAAGTATATCGGTCAGCTTTTGTTGTGTAACAAACAATCCCCGAATTAATTGACTTAATACCACAGACATTCCTTTAGTTTATGGTTCTATTAGGCAACTCTTTTGGTCTTGGATGGGTTTCTCTGATCCTGGCTGGGCTTGCTGTGAGCCTGTGGTTATTTGGTGGGTCATCTTGAGCCTGAATGATGCCAGAGCACTTCATCACTTGACTGGTATTTGGTTGGCAACAGGCTGGGGTTTTGAGGTGATAGAGCCAAAGGCCTCTTGTCTTCCAGTGGACAGATAGGGTCTTGTTCAGTGATGGCAGGATTCTTACAGCATCACGTGGAAGCCTACGAGCCCTCTAGAGGACTAAGTTGAGCTGTGGCCAAGTACCACTATCTTTGAAAGCAAGTCATACAGCTGTTAAAGGGGCGGGAAACAGACCCCACCTCTTGGGAGCAGCTACAAATATTTTGGACATATTTCCCACCTACCAGGCTAAGTACACTCTTCCAGAAACATCTTATTGACAAGTACTTATCTGATTTGAATTTACTGCCTCCAACTTTTGTTATTTGAATTACAAAATTCAGAGTGAGTCAGAATTGCACAAGTTGTCAGAGAAATACGCACTCCCCACACACATGCCTTTTCTGATTTACAGAAGAACACATATAAAAGACTCAAATAATTTACATAATCATGAAACAATAAATTGGAAGGAGCTTTTGTAATGAAGATATTAGAGAACAGTATTGTAAGTAATTAGAAAGTTGAAGAGTTTGAGAACAAAAAAATCATTTTAGTTTAATTTAAATTGAGGGGTATGTAGAGAGAAAAGACACAGAAGACTGGTGTGGGTAGAGGAAAGGGCCAGTAAAATGAACCACACATAATTGTTCCTTGAGCTAATTCTGAAATCTGAAGAACAAAATAAAAATGTTATATCTTTGAAAGCAAAACAAGACAAGACAGTAATGTCACCATTTGACTTCAATACTTGAAGTCATGAAACTGGCTAACTAATCCAGAATTTTGTCTCTAATATAGATGAACTTTAAGGAGCTTATTAATTTTGTGGCTGTATTGTGTGAGTTTAAAAGCTTTTTAGAAAATTGTGGCTCAGAGGGACTCAGAGTTGTTTTGGGATACCCAGCTGGTTGGTGGCAGACTCACAATAGAGCCTACATATCCAAATCCAACTCTGAGGTGTTTTCCATTAGTCCTACATGTTTTACATGTAGATACTCTGTTCAGGGACCCCCTAACCCCAGGATAATTACCCTCAGAGCTCAGTCAGGGAGTTCAGTGAGAAGGCTACAAAATTCAGTCATTTCCTTTAGAATGGGGAGGGTATATGGGGAAGGGCATGGCGTCCCTGTCCTTCCTATTTGAAAAGGCTGCTGGGTCTTTCAAAGCATTTTGAGGATGTGTTAATATTGCCTCTTGCCTCACTTTTGGTCCAGCATGTCTATATCACCTACTAAGTAGGTGACCACATTTTCCCTGGTGGAAAGTGTAGGAGGTGATGATATTTTTCCTATGCCCATCAACAACACTGGCCCTCTCCAAGACATGGCCATGAGTCTGCTGCCGTTCCCTCCATGGGGGCATGGTCACAGTGCTCCCAGGCACCCCGCGTGGATGCTGAGCTACTGAAACCACTCTTTGTGTTGTTGGATGGCTATTAACCATTTTTGACAAAAGGAATGTTTTCCCGGTTCTGGAAAGGGAATCCTCTGTCAAGATAAACAGCCCTTTCCCTCCACTCCTCCAACTTGGCTCTTGCCAGGAAGGTCTAAATAGGTCCTCTGTAGTCATTTTCTTTTCAGTATTTCACACCAGAGTTCAGTTATAAACACAGCCAGAAAAGTTAGCTTGTGCTGAAAGACCACAGAAGCCACAGAACAGAGAGCTGTTTTAGGTTTGGGCGTTCAGGTCCAGGCCTCCTGTGGACACTTAGGATCTAGGGAAATGTCCCTTCTCCGCCACCCCTCCCTTTCTATCATTTTACAATGTGATTGATTTATAAATGTGCTTCTCTCTTGAATTCTTGTGTATGACTTTTTCCGCCCCAGCACTTATCTCCCCCATTGTTCTGTTCCAGATGACTCCATGGAGCATTGGTTACCTGATCTGTTATGCTGCTCTGAACTGGTGTTGGGAAACAACGGAAGTGTACAAACTAGCTCATTGTCCAAGATGAATCTTTTTGTCACAGTAAGTAGATGTCATTGCCATGGAGAGGGGGCTGGGGGCACCCATGTTGCTTCTGATAGATGGATTATAACTTCACAAACACGTGATGCCTCAGCTAATGTGAACGAGTCAGAGCTCGTGTGCATCTTGAGCTACCATTTCTGTTCCAATTTTTCCTCCCTACATGCCTCCCATTTGTGACTTCTTTGCTTCTTCAGAGATGCCACTGCTGTCAAAATTTGGGGGGGCACCAATATGAAACCCACCACATGAGTTAGTGGTAATGGTGGACGTGTGATAGGCAGGGGGGGTTTGGTGTCGACCTTGTTCTGTCTTGGGATCCACACATCTGAGGAGTGGTCCTACCCTCAGATTCTGACTTTGTGGGGAGGGATAAATTCCCTGTTGCCCTTGTTAGTTTAGGTGCTTGTTAGGTGCTTCTGTGGCTGCAGGAAGTGACCTGAGTCTGATCAGGAGGCAAGTTTGACTTCAGGATCAGGAATTTCTCAAAGCTCTAGAGTGCCAAAGGTTTCCTCTGTGACTTGGCACATCTCAGTGGCAGACCCCTAGATGAGGGCCATCTGGGCTTGCCCTTAGGCCTGCTGTTTCCCATTTGTACCCTCTGTGATCTATCGCCTGTTTCCCTCAGGCACAGAACAGCATGGAGTCAGTCCTGAGCTATTTTTCTAGGCTACCCACGGTCACACCTGAATGTGTGTGGCAAGAAAGGAAAGCTTGGCCATTGACAATTACTTCACATTTTCCTGGAAAATAAAGACCCAGGAAAGGGGATACAGAATGTAAGACTGGGAGAGGAAAAGCATTACTGTCTGTCCCCTCATCACAGGTTCGCTCCGTCTGACAGATGTTGACTGAAAACTTTCTCTACCGGGGGGATCTGCTGGATGGGCTTCAACCTGGAAGCCCCTTCCCCGCGTCTTCCCTGCATCATGCACAGCTAACCTCCCATTATTGTTAGGGTTATCATCTGCACCCGTCCTCCCGGTCCCCGGTGCCCTAGTTGCAGGCCATTATCACTTGGTTCTGGCTGAGACAGTTGAAGCACGTTTCTAGTAGCCATGCCCCCGCTCCCCACTCTCCCTCCCCCATTGAATCAATTTAATAATTCATTTAGACAGTAATGAGTTCTCAGAAGGGTGCAGGAAAGAGAGCATGAGACTCTAGGACTGTAATCCTCCATCTGTCTTTGTGACTTTTTCCATGACAGGTAGGGTTAGCTGGGCGGGAATATCCTTCCAGGGCTGAGTTTCAGTGGCACTGTCCCCTTCCTTTCTTCTCTGGGTTCAGTAGCCAGCAGCGGGCTGGAGAGCATATGGACTCATCTGGTCAATGTTCAGGGCCACCCAATGAAGTCCACGTCAGTTGAACCACCTTGCCTGCCTCCTGCTGTCCCTCTTATAAGTCCTCCAGCATGGCCACACTGATCTGCTAGTCTACCCACCTTCCTGCCTGTCCACCCCTAAAGGTTCTTCCTGGACTCAGTGCCACATCCAAGCAGAGATAATACTCATCTGTCCCAGCCAGCTGCTCTATGAAGTCTTATGTCTTTTTACTCAACTGAGAGCTCCTCTGCCTGCTCTGAAATTCCATCTCACACAGAGATATATGTAAATTTATGTGTATATCCACATACGCATCTCTATTGTAAATTCTTACTCATGCCTAAGTTTTGTATCTACAGTTCAAGAATGTCCGTTTGCAGGCTTTTCCTCCCTTGGGAAGGTTCACAGCATCCTTTTCACCTGGAGGAATTCTGGGTTCTTGTCAGCACACAAGCCTTTGTTGTGTGGAATCTGAGGGACAGAAGAGGGTCAGTGGCTTTATGATTTATTTTAGAAAGCCATGATGGGAGAGAATGGAATTGATCAAGAAGACTCAAAGGCTTATTGTCCACTCTTCTGAAGCTAAGACTCAAGCTCCACAAGGGAGGGGACTTCTAGAATCATAGGTGATTCTGAAATCATAGGTGACCGGCCCGTTGCTTGGCCTGTTCACCGTGCGCCTTGTTCCTGGAAGGTGCAGGTCCCCACAGGAGTTGCTGTTAAGGGGACACCCCAGGAAGGGTCTGGTCCACTTCCCAGCAGAGTGGCATACTTCCACACCTAGACTCTAAATGGGAAGTCAGGGATCCATGTGTCGAGAGGAATGATGAAATTCCAAGTTGCCATGGGTCAATGGTTGTTTGGATACTGCCTGTCACTGGTCATGTTGTGTTTGGTGACTACCATTATGCTTGAAATGAATAAATACAGAGACCCAGGAGGTGAACCTTCTAGAATCATAGAGGATTCTAAAATCATAAGTGATTCTAAAAGGCAAAAGAAGGTTACCAGCTACAACTCGATTGTCTGCATCATAGTAGAGGTGGGATTTTTTTCTTATGTTTAGGTAAAGGAATCAGAATTTAAGATGTCAAAAGCATTTTAGACCACGAAACAGTTATTTGAATATAAAAAGTGGCCAGTATTCAGTAGGGACTTCTCTTCAGATGAAAAAGAAATGTACCTTTGGTCTGTTGTTCATTCATGTTCGTGAATTCGTTCATCTTGGAAATTTGTAATGAGCACCTAGCATGGGGTTGGTGGTGGGGGGTCTAAAGAAGAATAAAAGGATCCTATACTTTTTCCTCCACGAGTTTGTAATCAAGTAGGAAGTAACAACTTTAGAACACACGGGGACAGGTGTGAGCAGGGAAGTGGGAGGAGAAAGGGAGTCTGGAACATGACCAGACTGAAGGGTTCTGACAAGACTTCTGCAGAAAATGGCCTTCAATTTCAGTGTTGAAGTTGGGAACAGGAATGTGTCACATGAAGCAGGGGAGAAAGAGAGGAGAGTTCTGGGGTGAGGACAGGGTTTGTTCCAGGAATAAATGGGAGGAGCAGAGCCCTCTTGAGAGCTGAGAGCAACTCAACTGGTGGCAGTGGGGGGGAGAACAGAGACGTGTCTGGGCTGAAGCTGTGTGGCTGGCAGGCAGGTTGCAGGAGTCTTGCTGAGCTTGCTGAGTATTCAGGGCTTCATCTCAAAGCACTGGCAAGCCACTGAAGGGTATTATTTTGATTCTATGAAACTATGGTATTAATTTTTCTGTGGCGCTGTAATAAATTACCACACATATGGTGGCTTAGACAACACGGTTCTGGAGATCAGAATCCAAACTGGATCTCACAGGCCTAAAGTCGAGCTGTTGGCAGAGCTCTGTTCCTTCTCAGAGCTCTAGGGGAGAACCCCTTTCTTGCCTTTTCTAGCTTTTAGAGACTCCCTACCTTCCTTAGCTTGTGCCCTTCTTCCATTAGGAACATTTTGGGGACCATATCTGGCAATCACAGACACTAAGCATGACAACGACACCAACTACTTTGTGCACACTCCATGAGGACAGGACCATGACTTCTTTGCTCTCTTCTGTGTACCCTTTGTTTGACGCTGTTCCTTCCACTTGAAAATTCATTACAAAAATATACTGATGAATGAGGAAAAAGACATTTAGATATTTATGGCTTCAGAGGGAAGAACGGACAGTTCAGAGGCAAGAATGGGTAGAAAGGCAAGTTAGAAAGTTATTATTTTCCAGAAATGGAGTTAGACTTACCTGGATGAGAGGGTATCAATGAGTAGCTTTTAGAAGAATTTAGAAGACAGAATCAGTAAGATTTGAAGATGGATCAGATGTGAGGAAGGTGATGTCCAGATGTTCAGCTTGAGTACCAAGGAGGGTGGTGCCTCTTTTGACTGACTTAGGGAACTGGAGGAGGGGCAGGTCTGAATGAGACGGGGAGTGTAGATTTGTGTGGTTTGTGTGGGGTGAAGTTGGGATGCCTGAGGTTGAGATATCCCAATGTCTGCTACCAATAGGCAAAGTAAGTGGAAAGCTTGAAGGAGAGGCTGAATCTGGAGTTAAGGTTTAGAAGTTGTCCCAGTGACACTGGAGTGTCTCTGATTCTGATGGCAAGTGTGGTTGCCATAGCTGTCATAAGTTGCCTCTGCAGCTGAGAAAATCTGTGACGTGTAGCAGCTCTTAATGGTGGGCTCTGCCTTCCAGTGTTGCAGCAGACCCCAGAAGCTCACCAACTTCTTCTTTCTAGGTTCTGTCTCAAGAGGATGAGTGAGTGTGAGTAGGATTTATTCAAATGTGATAGATACAGTACTCCCTCAGTGCAAGAAGGGACCCCATAGGGGTTGCTCTTCAATGTGCTAGTCTAGGGTTTTAATATAGCACTTGGTCAATGCTATTTGTCCAAATTTATGCTGATCAGGGTTTGGAAGAGTACTAGTGCTATGGGTCGACCCTTCAGTCTGAACTTCTTTTCAGTCTGCCCCACTTCCGTTTTCTTGCTGCTTCTCTGCAATCGCAGCTTCCAGGAGGTTGAGGTTGTGGGATGGTAGATGTTGGGTTTCTGAGCTGTGGGTTGTGTGGAGCAGGCCTCTGCCTCAGGCGAGGCAGGGTACTGTGGGATGAAGGTTGGCATGCCCTGGCTCATTGTGTGAGAACTGAGCCAGCACGTTGGGCTCTGCACATCTACTTGTACTCCAGCTGCCCAGGTCACTGCTCCACAGCTCCAGACAAGGGGTTTGACTTCACCAGCTCTCAGTATTTGCCTAAGACAGTTAGGGACATGAATACTGTCACACAGAGGAAAAGTGTAAGGGAGAAGGGGAGAGAGCCCTGACCAAGCCCTGAATCACAGGTTTACAAAATCTGTTCTCATGCCAACATCACTGCTGTGCTCCTTGAATCTTTGCTGGGAAAGGATCACTATTTGGGTTGTTTTTCCCTCGTGGGGCTTGACATGGGATATGGAAACGACCTACTTTTATCAAATCCATTTAGAGATTGCTTGCACTGAAGTCCTTTTATAAGCTATGGGATTTGGGTGGAATGGACATTTATAGCTTGAATGGGGAGCACAGTAGGTACCCCAGATGCTGTAAATGTCTAAAGAGGCACCCCCTGGGAAAGGGAGGAACCTGGAGCCTGTGTCTATCTGAATGTTCTTTTCTTGTTTTTGTGTTTCCATGAATGACTGTACTGAGTGGAAGCATGGGTATACTGAGGGTACAGGCCCAGAAGGAATAGTGAGCTACAGTAAGAGTTATGAAAGGTGGAAGTACCAGGGAATTGCCAGAACCCAGTGACTTCACTCTGGGAAACTGGGTGAACCCCATTTGCCATGTCTAGATGGGACAAAAGAAGGCAGGGCTTTCAGGGCACTTGACTTGAAAGAAGTTGACTTTTAAGAAGTTGAGAAAGCCCAGGATGCTTCAAGATTTTAAAGATCCTGAGTATAAATAAACAAAACAAAAAATAAAACAAAATAAAAAGGAAGAAAAATGCCAAACCTGCAAGTATTCTGAAAATATAAGTTTGCATTTGACAAACTGATTCTTTTGAACCCAAACACAACTATACAATATGTGTTATATGTAAGACATTTATAGGGTTTATGAAAATAAGTTCATTATGTACCATGGTAGTGTGGCGTGTAGCAAAGCTTGAGACTAGGGCTCTGAGAGGAGCACCACCATCTTTGGTCCTTATGTGTCATTGATGTATGCCACACGGTGACTTTTATGTTGGAATTTGAGACCCTCAGCTCTAATCATCTCTACTTAGGATGGTGAGGCCAAGGCCAGTGGCCCTTTAGTGGTGCCTTTATGCATTTTATCCGTCATTTAAAACCCAGGTAGTCTTCTTCCTTTGTTGAATGTTAATCAAGAGCCAATAAATGCCAGGAAATTAGCTCCACTAGGTTCTGGGGCCACAAGGGTAATGAAGACACAGGCTCACACTGGAGGAGCTCCTAGGTGGTCACACTGTCCCCCCACGGTAGCAGCTAACCCCAACTTAGGTGACCCGCCTCATGTAGCTCTTTCCATAAGTCTGCTAACGCAAGTATTACTTCCTTGCCCTTTGTTATTTTTTTTTAAATTTTTAAAAAATGTTTATTCTTAAGTTGTAGGTAGACACAATATCTTTGTTTTACATTTATGTGGTGCTGAGGATTGAACACAGTGCCTCATGCATGCTAGGCGAGCATTCTACCACTGAGCCACAACCCCAGCCCTGTTCTTCTTGTACTTAAATTCTGTACAACTTTTTGGATAAATCCCATATAGTCTGCCTTGCTATTTACTTTGATAACAATTGAATTTAAATTGTGAAAATAATCTAACAACTTAAGTATGAAAATTAATTACATTTCTTATTTATAGATTGCAAATAATCACAGTGATGATAATCAGTTTTAATGCATAATAACAATAAAACCTCTGCCCATCATTGTAGGCAGACCCTGCAGCATGGCCTAGGCAGTGCATACTAGGCAGAAGCTGCTGTGCTGGTTGATGCTCTTGGATGGTTCCGTTTGGACCCCTGCCTGATGATACTTTAAAATCTCCCATGGAGAAACTGCTACATGTTAACCAGAAACTCCGGAGTGAAGTGGGACGCCTGCTCAGCTGGAGACTACAATTCCCAGCCTCCTTTGCAGGTAGGTGCATGGGTCTGAGTAAGTGTTAGGCCAGAGGAGTATGAGAAAGCCATTCTCTTATCTCCCTCTGTTGTAAGAGTCTTCTTATCTACCAGTTCCCCATGGAGTCATTGAAGTCTAAATCTGTATTCCTGGTACATTAGAGGGTCCTTTAAATGTTTACTAAATAATGAAGGAATTAAGGAATACCCTGTACATCAGTTGCCTCTGTTGATTGGGGTCCTCTTCCAATTCTCTTCAAGAATTGCAGAAAACATCCTGTCTGTTCCTGATGTTGACAAAATTGTCAATAGCAGTTGATTGGATTTCAATAATTAATCCCTCTCACATCTCACCTGCCACATGTATGTTGGGGCAGAACGCCCACTTGTGCATACCTTCATGTTTCCACAGTCCACAAAATAAATCCATCAAAATGCCCAGCTCTCTCTCCAACGGTGTCAACCTATTATATTTGTGTGCTGCTATATTATTCAGCCAATGTTAAATGCTGGGTTCAGAGAATTTGGTAGGTACCTTATAGGAATCTTAACTTTAAAAAGAGGCTAATCATATATGTTCCTTTAAACAAAGTTGGCTTGTTTGTGACTGGAAAGAAAATGTACTATTTAAAAGGAGGGACTTTGTCTATGAAACTGTCATCACAATAAATTGACATTGTGGAGCATATCTGGGCAATATGACATGTCTGGGCCACTTTAGACACTGCCGGTAGCCATGAAACCATCATTCACTTTCTGAACTGCTCCAATTTCCCTTGATCTGGGAAGCCCAGGCTGGTTGTAGTTGGGCTCTGAAAACCATCTTGGAAACTCCTTCAATAGATGTTTATACAGCAGGGATATAAACAGAAAGACCACTTCTCTCTCTCCTGAGGCAGGGTGGAAAAAAGAAGGAAGATTATTGTACATAAATGTCACCATGAGCCGCAATCACTAATCATGGTGCAAATACATTTTATGTATTTTCCTTCCCCCATGTGCTTTATATAAACAGCAAAACACATTGAACTGATTTTTCAAACAAACTTACAAAATTAGAAAACACAACCAACCTTTAACAGTTAGTAGCATGAATGATCAGGGGCTACAAAGAGGTTTTTAACTATTGAAACAGGTTGGCAACATGACAAATGAGTTTTTTCTTCTTCCAAACCGTTAAAAATAGCTTTTATAAACTTTTAACTCCCTCTTATGGTGAGCTCACCATTAATCACCTTTATGACATCTTATATTTAGGCCATGGATAAATCCATGGGTCCTAATCAACCACTTTCCTGAGGAAATTGGCCAAATCCCGACTGGAGGGGAGGGGGATGAATCACAACAACCCTGCTATTCAGACAGATCTCTTTTCAAGTGCCCTTAAAGCTTTTTTTTCGTACACCAGTGAAGACAGCCACACAGGAAACAATAATAGTTTAATCTCTTGAAAAATTTCCTTCCTGCACTGCAGTGCTTTCAGACAGGTACTCAGAGCGAGCCAAAGAAAATGAGCAGCAGCCCTGCCAAGAGCAGGCTGCTGCTTGAGGCTCTCAGTTTCAGCGCCCTCTTCTTCCCAGTCTCTGCACAGGAATCTGCTTGCTCTCCCTGGGGTTTTGTCACCCCTGGGCTCCCATTAGGGGTGCTGCTGCCCAGGTGGGGCCCTGACTGACCACGGAAAAGACAGATAAGTAGAAGAGTCATTTGGCGACTTGATGTTTGGCTAGACGTTGAAAAGCCTCTCCTTCCTTCTGGAGTTCTCTTGGGCTTCCTTTGGGAAAACAAAGCACCATTTGCCCCAGGAGGTACCATCACAGACCTGCGTCTGGTTCTTGTGGAACCCCACCATGAGTGCTGGACAAGCAAGACTAGTGTCAAGACTAACAGGGAATGTTTTGTTTTTAACAAGGCTTAGGGAATCTGAGCTACTTCTGAGATTTGTGGGATATATGGACCTCTAGCTTTACCCTCTCCAACCAGTGCAGAGCATTCAACAACTCATACATAGGCCTGTCCTTGGAAATGAGGTCCATCTCCTGTGAAGGGCCCAAGCTGCATGTAACTTACCTCAAAGTAGATGTTTCCAACCAGCAGGTTCACTGGACTGGGGACAGAAAGAGTCTTGACTTTCCCATGGGCCACTGACTGCTGGCTCAGACTGGATTGTCCATCCTCATCTTGACCTACTGGAAGAGAGACAGAGATGGTCATTTCTGTGTTTAGTTTTTAAATTTTTGTGCTATATATTGGCAGCAAACACTGCAGTATTTCTTAAATATTTTTCCTGGGAAAACAGTGGTGTTTTTAACTTGAAAGAAAAAGTTTTAATGTTTATAAAGACAGCCTGTCTACTCTGAGAATAATGGAAATACCAGTTTGACTTTGCTCTGGGAGGTGGGCTCCGATATTAGGTAAAGACATAAACTAGTCAGGGAAAAAGATAAACCTGCAAGTTTCTAAGGAAACGTTGAATTAATTGTATATTAACCATGTCTTCATATAGTGGCCTCACTATAGATGACCCCTAAAATAACAAAAAATAGGCAAAGTCAAGGTCTTTGAGAGACGCTTTTAAAGCAACATGAGATCTTTTTGACCAGTGAAAAGCTGAATGTCCGGAATTTGATGTTTGATATTTCTTAAAAGGGATGTCTTAAGAGACTGACAGGAACCAAATAAAATCTGGAATAAACAGGATCAGCTGACTGTCAAGGAGGGAGGTGGTTGCCCCTTCGTGGTGTCTCGCTGCCAGTCTTCCTGTATGCCTGTAATCATAGTCAGATAAGCCCTGCTGTGCCCGGCTTCACTTCAGGAAGGTTCTGTGACCTCGTAAGCAAATAAGGTGTGGTGGGAACCGAGCTAGGCTCCGCTGGCCAAGCCCTGCCTGAACACTCAGGAACAGACTCATATGAACCAGCACCGTGCCCAGGTGGAGGCCCAGTCTGCATGTCAGCACTTGGCTTATTTTGGGTCAAAGCTCAGGTGAGTCAGAGAAAGTTCACTGTGCTCCTCAGCCCACCCCACTTCTTTTGTTTAGTTATGGAAGGAGAGCCTGGCCTGGAAGTCTTGGAGGGCTGATTACCCCTAAAAACACAAGAAGTCACAGTGTGACCTGTGTGGGTGTTGGTTGGCTTTCTCTGTGAGGCAAGGCAAGGGGGGACTGGCCTGGTTCACTGGATGGGCAGACAGGGACCAGCATTGCCCTCTCCCCTTGGCCCCCTTTCCACTACTCCCCAGGCACATTTGCATGCTCCCCAAGCCACTCAGTTTTTGGTTGGTCCCAGGGAGACCACATTTCAGGACTCCTATTCTTCATCAGCTGGGCATGTTCCAAGGACAACTCTGAGGACAGAGGATGGTAGATCCATGAGAAGGAGGGGGCCATAGTGCCCAGATCACCTTGTGATCAGACTGTGATAATAGTGGGGCATAAGCCACCATACAGTGATGCTGCTGGGATTTAGCATCATCCGTTAGAGCAGTCAGACTACGTGACCAATACAGAGCAGTTGCAAAAGTGGACTTGGCAGTGGCCAACACAGCCTTGCTTTTTGCCTCAACTTCCTCGTGGACCAGAGACAGGGTGAGTTAGTGTTTAGAATAATGCTTGGTGCTCAGGGACATGAGAGCCACTGCTGCAGTACTGCAGCGCTATTCCTGCTAGTGTCACTGCTGCTACCCATACATCTCTTACAGAACCTCTCCCCTCACTGCTATGGTGCTTTTGGTTTCAGGGGAAGAGAAACCAATGAGGAAAATGGTTGCTCATTCCAAGAAGACCTACCATTGATCTTTGGCTTCATGAGAGGGGAAAACAGATTTCTTTTTCTTTTATGATGTGAGGTCTTGCTTTGCTGCCCAGTCTGCTTTGAACTCAAGTGACCCTCCTGCCTCAGTCTCCTGAGTAAGGGGGGACCACAGGAAATACCACTGTGCCCAGCTGGGTTTCTCCATCCAAACCTACGTGAAGTGCCAGCTATACCCACAAAACAAGCCTGAGATCTGCAACTCAGAGATTATATACAAGGAAATGGTACATTTCCTATTGTGATGGAAGCCAAATGCCACCAATGATTCAGCCTGGATTTAGGGGAGAGAGATCATTTGTGTTATGAAGAAATTATCGAGGATTGTATGAATAAGTAATGAGGTATTTAGTCTCTCTAGCCCATTTGGGAGGGGTGAGCACACGAAAAAGAACAAATGCTAAATGTGGTCCTAGAAATTTAATAGGGCCCACAGAATAAATTGGACTTTTAGTAGGGATTTCATAATGGGATTTTGGACAAAGACAATATTGCACCTGTATTATCATCCCAGTCAGTCAACTAGGATAATTAGAACTGTTTTAACCCACAGAGATGTCTGAGTCCTAGGAGGATGGTGTTGAGAAGTAAAAGTGGCTTTAATGCAGATTTTAAAGTCAGTCTGCCTGGGTTCAAATTCAGCATCTCACCAGCTGTGTGAACCTTGGGCAAGATACTTAATTTCTCGGGGCTTTGGTTTCTTCATCATTAAACTGAAAATAATCATAATATTTCTAAGTATTAAATGAGGATTAAATGATTAATACTTTTAAAAGTTTAGAACAGAATCATACTATACTGCTGCTAATTATTATCATTATTGCTTGAAAACACCGTTTGGTACCTTGGTCGGGAATATAGACATTTATTTCAAAGGGGTTTTTAAGCTTCCTAACTTGAAAGGGAAATATGAAGCTTCATGCCTTTGAACTTCGATCCAGGGAACTCCCCCTGGGGTTAGCATAGAGATATGTTTGCCTAGTTCCATGGTGGCTCTATCAACAGCAGGAAGAAACAAAGGGTTCAAGGCCAAGGTCACGGACTCCAAGATGTTCATTTTCATGCTTTTTGTTTGGAGATATTTGGAACCAGCCCGAGTGCTTTTAAAGGCTCTTTTCTGATGAGGAGGACTACAGAGAAAAGGACACATCTGGCACACAGGAGTTTGATGAGCATCTGTAACCATCTCTGAAGATGGGAAGAAGCCACCTAGATGCATTAGAATTATATTCCTGAAATTAAGTTTTTACTTGTTCTTTCATTTTGTCTTTCCAAATTCCAACTCTTATTCAGAACAACTTCAAACAAAATGATACATTTTTAAAACTTTTAGTTTGGAAATAATTTCAAATGTATAGGCAGATTATAATAAAAATATTAGGATCTGTGACAAAGAGCCCTTTACCCAGATTCACCTGCTGAGAATGTTTGACTCCATTTTCATTATTACTTGTGCCTGCCCCTATACCCAGTGTACATGTACTTAGGCACACAAAATATTTTTTTTCTTGAACATTTGTAAATAATTTGCATACATCGTGGCCCTTTGCCCCTTAATATTCGGTGTTTACTTCCAAAGAACAAGTCTATTTTCTTATATAATCAATGTACACTTATCAACCATAGTAAATTTAGCAGTGATACAATACTCAGATGTGTTGTCCATATTCCAGTTTTGTTGATCAATCTCATAATGTCCCTATAACATCTTTTCCTGTAATACAAGGGGGAGTTTCAGATTGCATTTACTTGTATATGTCTTTTTCTCTATAAGTTATATTTTTTAAAGGGTGGAACACTTGTAAGTACCAGAATGTTAAACTTTTTTTATTGCTCTTAATGATGAACCAACCAACTTGAGCTACTTGTTATTTAATTTTGTAATGAAAAAGAAATAAAATGTCCATTTCTTTAGAAAGTTTTGCTTATTTGGGTGCCTTTTAGAAGTGAGTGTTTAATTTTTCTAATGGCTCTATCCTGATGCCTTGGTTCCTAGAAACTTGTCAAGGACAAGAAGGGATCCCTTCTTTCCTCAAGTTTAATATATGGATACCAATAAGATAGAACTCTGGGGAAGTCTTTTAGCATATGCTTGGGAGATGCTCTTATCTGAATTCAAATGGGATTTATGCCTTTCCAGGTTCAAGTTTTCTCAGAAAAATATCATATATATTTATACATGAAAAAGTCTTTCAGTTTTTTTAAGTGCTTGTCACATTTTAAAGAAATGAATGGGGACTGAAAGCCCCAGCACCCTTTTCTGATGAAGAAATAGGAAATGGCCTAAGCTTTGAGATTCCTCTTTTCGTTAGTATAGGATGGTTGCTGCTCTTTACAGCAGACTTATTTAGGAGGAACCAGCAGCTTCTACAGTTGGTACAACTGTATTAAAATATATAACAAATATCTTCTATGTCTACAGACAGCTTGCTGCCTGCTTTGTGAGTTTTATGAACAGAAAGGTGTATGTAGTGATGTGGGAGAAGCAGGGAGTGGGAAGGAGGGAAGAGCAGTCAGCATCTGGACACGGTCTTCCCTAGCCAACAAGTGGTGGACTGGCTTGGTGAGGAAGGGGTGGCTGAGGAGATAAGGCCCCCAAAACACAGTGTGAATGGAGAGATGGGAAATGGCGGCAGGTGTGGGCATGGGTCCCTCTATGATCTTTCAGAGTTTAAATGTTTCTAGAAGCCAGTGTCAGTTAATTTCTGTAGAGCTGTCCTAAGACCAAAAGGAAAAAAAAAAAAAGGCCACACGTGGGAAGAAAGCTGTTTGGCTTCTTTGGAATGAGAGGGTCCATGGTCTCAGATCCAGCAGGAGATACGCGTTTGAGAATAAGAGGAAGAAAACCCCCAGGGAAACTGAACTGATGTTTGAAACTTGGATCAAGATGGAGATCTCCTGAAAAGCAGAAAAGTTCCAGAACTCCAAGTCTGAGGGAATGGAGAGTGAAAATGAAAGCCAGGTCTTGATGAAGAGGGAGTCTTTTATTACTGACCCATGGCTGTGGGTGGGGCAGAGGGCAGGCTGGTGCAGGGAGAGACGGGTTCCCTGAAAACAGGCTGAGGTTTTCCTATGCCTTAGCTATAGAATTTAATCCTCTGGGATCTAGTGTAGGACAATTCTTATCTTTCAGTGCATAGACTCCTTTTTATCAGAAAGAAACAGCTCTTAATTAGTCCTTAGAGTGGCCATTTGGTATGAATAGGAGAGTCCAACTCGCAGGTCTGGAGCACTTTAAAAATTTGCTTAGAAGATGGCCACATTAGAGAGCAGGGCATTCTCAGTCTTCTGGTCTCCGTGTCAGGGGCTCGCAGACTGGTTTGGTGTGGACGCTGCTTCTGCAGCTACTCTAACCAAAACCTCTTCGCAGCTCCAGCCTC